CTAACCAGAGGTTTGAGAGAGAGAGAGAGACTTGGCCATCTACTGCCCACGAGCATCCACTGACAGCCCCACCTCAACTCGGGCCATCACATGGTCGGAGGGGTTTGTTGTTGTTGGAAACACTCCCAGCCCACTGCCATTGAGTCCATGCCGACTCATAGTGACCCTCCAGGCAGAGTAGCATGAACCGCCCTGTGAGTTTTTGCCCCATCTTCCTCCCTCGGAGCAGCTGGTGGTTTGGAACCGCTAACCTTGCCAATCCTGGTCGTTTAATGGCGGTGGCTCACTGTGCCATCTAAGTCTCGGGGCCAAGAACAGGTCACCTCAGAATCTTCCTGGGCAGACATCGGTCCCCTGCATACCACCAGCCACTGTAAGGTGGCCTGCAAAGACAAGGGGAATGTTTTGAGCAAAAGCAGCGTCCCCATGCGACCATCTTAGGATGCAGGCCATGGCAGGTCCTGGAACCACTGGTCCGGTCCTTCCCAGGACAAGCCATGACAGGACTGCCAAGCCCAGCTCTGCACCTTCTGGCTGGCCGGCAGGGCATTCCCAGGATCCCCGGAGGGGGTCCTCCCCATGCCTCCACCCTAAGCCAGCCACCCAGAGGAGGGGTTGGGACCACACGCAGCTTCTTGGGCCGATCCCTAATGAGTCGCATTAAAACCTGAGTCAAAGGAACCGTGTGACCTCTTTGGGCCTGTACCACACTCTCCTCCCGTAGTTTGAATCCAGGGGAAAACCTCCTAAAATAAATAAAGGCACCCTAGTGACGCAATGGTTAAGCATTTGTCTCCTGTTAACTGAAAGGTCGGCTGTTCAGACCCACCAGCAGTTCCGTGGGAGAAAGACCTGGCATTCTGCTTCCGTAAGGATTCCAACCCGGGAAACCCCGTGGGGCCGTTCTACTCTCTTCTGAGTGGATGGGAGTCGGCATTCATTGACCGATGGCCCATAACAACCAAGTTAAAAGACACACAATGCAAGGTCAGCGGTTCGAAACCACCAGCTGCTCCTCGGGAGACAGACGGGGCATTCTACTCCTGTAAAGAGCGACCGTCTCAGACACCCACAGGGACGGTTCTGCTCGGTCCTCTAGGCTTGCTATGCGTTGGCATCGGCTTGAGGGCAGCGAGTTTGGTTTAGCTTTCTCTAGCAAGCCCCACACTGCCGACCCTCCCAATGGCAGTGCAGGGTGGTAACACAGTCTGTTTTTATTAGCACTGATGCTTGCACATAGGGCTATTTGGGGGGTTGTTTTGGCAGTAACCTTGGGGGACACTGAGTTTCTGTTGAGGATGCTGGGACAACCAGGAGCTGGAAAATGGTGCTGGCTGTACGAGCGTGGAAGCCAGGTCACTGAGTTGCACTGTAAAAGCATGGAAATGGCACACGTGGTATGTATGTTGTTGTTTTAGATGCGCGCTCAAGCCCCTTCCGACTCATAGCACGCGTGTGTGCAGCCGCGTGAAACCCCGCCCGGCCTGGCGCCAGCCTCACTCATTCCCACGTGTGAGCCCCGTGTCA